GCCCCAGCCCTGGAAATGTCCAAGGCCAAGGATGGGCTTGGAGAAATCTGGGATAGTGGAAGGTGTCCCTGCCTGTGTTAGGAGGCTGGAATGAGGTGAACTTTAAGGTCCCTTTCAACCCAAAACATTCATGCCAAGGTGCAAATCAGCCCTCAGTGGGGACCAGGACCTCACTGGGGCTGGCACAAGGCTGCTGTTCCTTGCACATGCTGCAGTTGTCAGGGACGTGGGATTTATCAAATGAAGTCCTTTCCTTTGATCCTTCTTGCGTAAAACCCTCAATATTGCTTGTCAGGGCTGTTTTCCCTTCCATTCCATCATCTTAATAATAATAACACAGATGTAACAAAGACAAAGCTTCCTCCCAGCGCTGCCGGGGCGTTCGTGGCTGTGGGCACAGCTCAGGGTGGTGCCTAAAGAGAAACCACAAGTCAGGAGCAGACCCCTTCCACACCCTGGCTATGCAGGAGGCTGTGTCCTGGTGGGGGGGTGGGATGCTGGTGATATTCCTGTTTCTCTGGGAGCCAGGCATGGCTGTCTGGAGTCACCCACCCCACCCGCCTGGGGCTGCGCTCAGAAGGGTTAAACACCACCGGGATCCCGCTGATGAGGTTTGTTAAACTCCCCATTACATCCTGCAGCGCTGCTAATTATGTCTTCATAAACCAAAGTCAATTAGCCAGGTCTCTCCCTGCTCCCGCCTCTTAACATCCCTCTCCATCATTAGCCTGATCCCTGGGAATGCCTGCCTTGGTCCTGCCCCTTCCCCTGCTCTGTGAGTCTCTGGCCCCAAAGCTCTTCCAGAGACTTTCGAGGATCCAACTGGTGCTCTTTGACTAAAATTGGAAGCTTCGCAGCTCATCCTGCTCCAGAACACGACCCCTTGCACTGAAACAGCTGGGGCAGGTGGAGAGGAGGTGGGGGGGAGCCAATATCCTTCTTCAAATACGGGAAAAATTACCGCAACAAGGAAAGCAGTAAATTCTTCCCTATGTTCAAAAGTGAGGGATTTGCTTTGTAGGGAGAGAGATTTGGGTTATCTGCCTGGAATTTAAAGGTTTTTAAAGGGAGGTTAGGCACACAGGCAGGGTTTAGGAAGAGCTGACCCTGCCCTGAGGCTTCTTGAGACCTGGCTACTGAATTTTCTAATGTTAATTATAGACCAAGGGTTCAGAGCTAGGGAAGGCTCCCCCAGTCATGTCATTGCTGCCCAGCTCAGGGCTCTGGGTGCTGACCCTGAGGGGAATGAACCCCTTGGTGGAGACGGGATGAATCTCTTCATTACTTGAAGGGGGCCTGTAAAAATGACAGAGAACAAGTAATTACAATGCCAGATTGTGACAGGACAACGGGGACTGGCTTTAAACTCAAAGAGAAGAAATTTTGATTATATGTTAGGAAGAAATTCTTGGCTGTGAGGGTGGGGAGGCCCTGGCACAGGTTGCCCAGAGAAGCTGTGGCTGCCCCATCCCTGGAAGTGTCCAAGGCCAGGTTGGACAGGGCTGGGAGCAGCCTGGGCTGGTGGAAGGTGTTTCTGCCTGTGGCAGGGGGGTGGATGGCCTTTCAGGTCCCGAAACCAACCTAAATCATTCTTGGATTCTGTGATTCTGTGAACCAGCTGTGATGGTGGATGGGAAGCTCAGCTCCCAGTTGCCTCCCTGGAGCAATTCCAGGTCCATGACAATTAGCTAACAGCTGGAATGCCATTTAAGCACAGCTGCCATCATGCAAATTTAGAGATTAGCAGTGTTTAAAGTGGTCTGGAATGTCTCATGATTTCTTATTAATGCTTCAGGCTCTCTTAGAGCCAACTGCCCTTCATTGCCGAGATGGCTCCCACATCACCAAGGGTGGAAGTGGGTCCTCGTTCCTTGCTGGTCACCAGCCCTTTGCAGAGCAGCAGAGGGAGCAGAGCAGCCCTGCAGAGATGTGAGTGGATGGCCAGAAAGTTGTTAAAAATGTGGTTATTGCTCTGCACTGCTAATCCTAAACTGGCAAGGTCACCCTTCAATGGCTCCCTACTCTGTGGTCCCACAAACAGAGGAGACTTTCACTGTGGAGGCTTCCAAGGGGCTCCAAATCTACTGTCACAGTGACCCAAAGGTGACACAGCTGGGGCACAGGGCCATGGGGCTGCTGGGCATCATGGATGGCACTTTCCTTCAGAAAGGACAAACCACAGGGACCTGGAGCAGGGCAACACTTCCAGTGATGGTTCTTCTCAGGGCTAGAAACCTCTTCCCTGTGATTTCAGAGTCTCAAGGCCACTTACCTGAAACACACAAACTATTAACATTCCAGAAACTCTCCCTGGAGAAAGCCCCATCTCCTCACTGTGATTACTCAAGGTTTCCATCTTAATGTTCTATTTCTCCCCCCTTATTTTAATAATGTGGAAGAAATCTCCTGGCTCTGATATCGCAGAGTAATTATCTCTTCACCACAAGCTCACTAAGCTGGGCTGCCAATGCTATTGCAGGAGCAGCTTGTGACCTAGCTGAACATCTTCAAGCCTCTGTGGGGTCCTGAAGCTCCAGGGATTTCCCATGGTGATGTTATCTCCACCTCTCCTGGCATCCAGGGTGGTCTGCTGGGGGCTGCTTGGTCCAAACCCACCACGCCCCAAACCTTCCCTCTATCTCAGAAGGTTTTCCTCCCCACCCCACGCAGAGTGGGCAGTTCTGGGTGGGATTTGGGGTGTCTGATGTGCCAGCAGGGTGTGTAGGATGAGGTGTCAACCAGAGAGTGCAGCAGGACAACTCCCACAACATATTCCTTGCCCTGTCCAGTGGCCTATGGGGCAGCAAGAGCTGGGGCTTGGTATTTTGATGGACTTCAATGGGCATTCCTTGGCAGGAAGGTTTTATAGCACATGTGAAACCACGAGGTGATAAAAACTACCATGTTTTGTTCAAATTCTTGGAGTAGCGTTGTAGGTCAGGTTGGACGGGGCTTGGAGCAACCTGGGCTAGTGGAAGGTGTCCCTGCCCATGGCAGGGAGTGGAACTGGATGAGCTTTAAGGTCCCTTTCAACCCAAACCCTTCTGTGACACAACGTGATGAGACTCCTCCAGCCAAGCTGTGTCTACAAATGGGCTTAAAATGGTACATTAATTAAGAGTGGTCCTCCAGGCAGGTGGCCCAGGGGGTGAAATTTCACATCATGCTACTTTTCACACCACTTGGATTTTCCACCCCTGCTACAGAAGGTTGGAAATGCCAGTTCCATCCTTACACCACGGGAATTTTCCATCCTTTTTGTGTCCTCCTCATCCAAGGAAACACTGGAATCGGGGCTCTCGTGAGCATCTCCTGCTGGCAGAGGAGCTGAGGAGGACAAGGCGGGGATCTCGCTGGCCAGGGCACTTCATGGGTGTCCCCCAGAATAAGGAGAGACTGCTTCAGCTCTACTTTTCATATGTTTTATTATAAAGAAAGGTAAGATAAGCATTGTGAACCGAATGTGCCAGGTGCTGCGAAAGCAGCGCCGTCAAACAAAATAAAAAATTAAAACAAAACAAAACAAAAAAAGAACCCCAAAAATGCACCTTATGAGAAACTGTAATTATGCTCTCTAATTTTTCATAAATAGACAAAAATCATTGTCAGCAATTTTTAAATAGATGGACATATGGCCGAAAAAAAATAATAATGCCATACAACATGGATATAAATTGTCCATTTCTTGCTGTACAAATAATAGAAACAAGTTTGGCAGGCTTTTTTTGTTGTTTTTCTTTATACACATCTCCCTTCTATGTATAACTAAAAAATGTGCTACAATTAATATAAAATGCTTTTACTATAAAGTAAACTACTAATTTCTTTCACAAAAAAATCTTAAAGATGTCTTTAGCACAGCTCTAAAACACTTAGTAAACTACTTACAACTATCCAACAAATTATATTTTCATGATCTTCTTCACATTTTTCCGCTCATATTTTGCCTTCTGCTCTCTCCCCCCACCTACCTAGCAATAGTTTTTATTTATTTTTTTTGTAATTTTTTTTTTTTTGCCAGACCATCCAAGGCCTTTGCATGTACAATATTCACACAAACTTCACATTTTCTTGCACAAAGTTTAGTGCTGTTAGCAAGTCAAAAGAGTGCATCCTCCTACTGAGCTGGCCTAATGCTGTAGGACACCAGACCTGGGCTTATGCTGCATCTAAAAGCAGTTCACTAGGAAAATAGTCTGTAGCTAAGCTGATGGCAAGCAGAAAAATGGTGTCCTCAGTTAATTTTTTTTTTTTTTGTTGGTTTTGCATGTATTTTAATTTTTTTTATTATTTTTATTTTTAGTTTGTTTTCTTTCTTTCTTTTTCAGTTTTTTTTTTTGTTCTTTACGATTTACGAGGTGTGGTTTTTTTTTTTTTTTTTTTTTTTTTTTTTTTTTTTTTTTTTTTTTTTTTTTTTTTTTTTTTTTTTTTTTTTTTTTTTTTTTTTTTTTT